TGCATGTTTGATAATGCCCCTTCTCATTAAACACAACAACTTAGGACATCACCTTTACGTTCATTATGCAGTCTTGTGGGTGCAGACCTGTTAATAGGCCCACAATTGCCTACGCGGGCCAAATCACAATTTATTTGCTATTAGAGCATTTGTGGACCATGAACATTAAGGTTTGTAAAAAAGATGGGTGGAAGCCGTGAAAATAATTTGTGACTTTAATAAAGGAATAACAGTGTGAGGAGCCGGTCTACACTGCGTGATAATGACCGGGTTTGGGGGTGACCGCTGTTAATGGACCGAGACCAAATACCCTTTTAACGAAATAAACAGTTAAAATGCTCCAATTGTGTGACTTTTCTTTGGGCGATATTTCCAGATGTTTTGTGTTCATGGGCCATATTTTAGCTTATGCGTGGTACCCTGTCTCTTCGATATGCGTTGTTATATCCCCCCATAGCCGGGCCCAAGATGCGCTTGACGACGTCTTCATCGTTGCATTAAAAACGACATATTTTTACCTGATGGAGGAAGCTGAAATTTCGTTTGCATATTCCTTGTGTCCACAATTACTAAGAAGCTTGGTTTAGGAAAGGTGAATATGTCGGTGGGCGAATTGTTTAAAGAAAATAAATCGCAGATCTACGCTTTCGTCGTCAACATCCTCAGTATATTGCTATACGATGTCGTTTGAAAACTTCCTTACGCGCGCGCACCCATAGCAACTGTATTGCGTACGCGCGCGTAAGTCTCACACGAAGGTGGTTAAGCGCATGTGCAGTGCTGTATTGTTACAAGCTGCCGTATAATTTGGCCAATCATTGTCTTGCATTGGGCTGGATCAATGCTGGTTCAGAGGCCAGTTTTTCGCTTGTTCTTTGAAGCCGGTCTTTATATCACCGTTAATACACCCCCACGTGATCGAGTCTCGACCAATCAGAAGGCACCAACTCTCCAAGGTATTTATTAATAGTTTTTAAATGTATTCAACGCTTTTGAGATAAAAATTGTTATAGATGTAGCCCAGCCAAAAAAAAAAATGAAATAGCGCCCTCTAGTGTTCACACTGGATGCAGTCTGAAAAAGCATGATCACAACTGTCATGGAGGCATCCATGTTTTCTTCACGTTCTGCTGCAATCGGCATGTAAAACGGGCCCAAAACGCTATTTTGAAGGCTCAATTCGACAGATGAAATAGTCCTGTTGAAACTGTTGGCTCTCAGGTAAAGCTAAACCTTTTGTAATTTTCATAATACATGATAGTAAAGATTTAGTTGAGAACCACATGTGCTCATTGTGCATGTAAATGATTCATATGCAATGCTAGTGTGTTATATGCAAAATAAGCAGATAAGGGTGGTTCAGAGTAATAAGATTTAATTATGTAGGGGATATTAAGCAGACTATTTAGGTTAATTTTGATCTTTTAGTACACTGTTTTGGACTTGTTCTGGGTACAAATGAAGCTTGGGGATGCAAATGAAGCTTGGGGGATGCAAATGAAGCTTGGGGGGATGCAACTGAAGCTTGGGGGATCTCTAGGAAAGTGTGTGTAGATAATGTCCTGTTTTAGGGGATATGCATGTGCTTACATAATTAGCTTATAGATGGGGTATTCTTACATCATCCTTTGGGTTAGATATGTACTATTATGTTTTATAAATTGTTTGCGGTTAGGTGAAAGCTAAGATGCTTATGGGCTAAAAACCAAGACAATTGTGTTCATATTATTTTATAAAATGTTTATTTTTGTCATAAATTGCTTTATATTGTAAGATAAGTTTTAGAGCTGACCGAAGATTTATTGCCTTGGTCGGTATCAAACTTTACAATTGTGGATGACAACTTTTGTCACTTCTTGTTAAATTTTGAACTGGACAACCTGTTTACTGGAGCCCAAGTCAATTATATTGATTACTCCATGGAGCCTTGGGTAATGTAAAATTAGCTATGCCTAAGCTATATTGATAATTGAAATTGTTATCAAAGTATAGCAACATTTGAAGTTGTTTACAAAGTAGCATGTATACTATATGTCTGCATGGTTTTCTTTGAATCTCAGGTTTGGATCATCAGATTCAGCTCTCAGTTTTTGCTAAGTCCCAGCTCTCAGGTTCTGCTCAGCTGAGACTCAGTCGGCTCTCCGTTCCCGACTCACATCACAGTCGTCAGGTGACGAGCTGCATGAAGTGCAGGCCCTGGTCAGAGTGCCCCTGATCTGGACCATCTTCAGAGAGATAAACCTGGTGAGGGAGAGTTCTTCCCCATTCGACGGTACGGAGACAGTCTACGGTGGATTCCGTTCTCCAAGGAGCAGTACACCTGGACTGGAACTAGAGCACGCGTGCAAATATCCTTTGGAACTGTCTGTTCCTTGTTAGTGGAACACAGAGCGAGGACAGAGACAGAAAATCCAGGATCCTGGTTCGCATTATGTACATGTACATGTTTTATTAAAGTTGAGCGCTCATTTTTTTCTTGTTGTTCTTAAATACCTTAAATCTGTATTCATACGGTCTAAGTAGTTAATCCGATTAATCAAAAGTAATTTGTTGTTCAGAAATCCGTGTTGAATTAAAGTGTTAAATCAAAACGAAACAGATAGAAGTCTTTGTGACACTGGTAGTTTGTTTAGGTGGGTTACATAGATACTCACATTTGTATTTGTTTAAACTATAAATGGCGATGGGAGTGGTTATAGGCCTGTAATCATGTGACCTGTGACGTCATGCCAACAGGCAATCGCCGGGCAACCCAAACCGTTAAGCATCTTTTGCATATTATTTAAGCAGTATATGTCAACACTTTCAAACCATTCATGTTTCAAGATAATTATATACATCATGCAGAAGAGAACAGTTTGCTTGGGAGTTGGTATCACGTGACCACAACATCCAATGTTTAAACAAATGCCACATCGTCCATAGGTAATCTTAGCACATTCGAATTGAAAGATTGGGAACCAGTGCATATAGCTTTCAATGTGTGTACAGCAAATGGGCTACCAACTGTTTAAACATCGAGATCAGTGACCCCACCCTCGAAGTTAGAAGTGGTAATGGAGGGACTGGGAACCAGTCTACGGGTCTAGAAAGTGTGCCGAATTTTTACGGTTGAACAGTGGCGTCACCAGACTTTTCAGTCTGGGGGGGCACAGGGGGGCACCAGCATTTGATGGGGGGGGGGGGGCACTTAGGTGGATACGGATCGCCGTCCTGGGGGAGGGGTCTACAGGCGCGGATCCAGGATTTCTTTAGACGGGGGGCATACCTTTAGAGCATTTGCTCCGAGGACTAATGCGAGCGCGAAGCGCGAAGCCCTTACGGCGTGGGGTCCGGGGCCCGCTTAAGGGCCCCGGAAAATTTTGGATTCTAGATGCTCTGTGGTGCAATCTGAGGCCACTCCTTGCCCCTTTCCCCCTGAATTATTTGAGCAAAAGTTGTTAAGCTTATGAGGATTTTTTTAAATATACATTAATGTTTTTACAAATTTTAAGCTACTGTGTACTTCAAAATTTGTGCAAACCATGTATTTTCGTCTTCGCGGAGCAGTGTCTTACGGCGTGGGGTTCGGGGCGCGGGCCTACCGAAGGGCCCCGGGAAAGTTTTGATTCTATAGAAAACGGATGCTCTGTGGTGCAATCTATAAAAGCGATTTCTGGCCCCATTTCAGTAAAATGTTGTAAAGATTGTTAGGATTTTTTTTTCATTATCGCTTCGGTTTGCGGTAACACCATGTGTTTCTTTATTTTTTGTTCATTGGTTTAACATTGTACTCTTGTATTTCTTTTGTTCTTTACTTGATAACCAGGTATTTTCGACGGCATTATCAATTTCTTGCAATTTATTTTTGAAAAAATAATTGGATAGGCTTAGTTTGTAGAAGATCTGCCCCGAGGACTAATAATGCGGGCGTGAATGTATTTCGGCGTGGGGTGCGGGGCCCGCTTTAGGGCCCCGGGAAATTTTTGATAATTAGATGCTCTGTGGCCCCTCTTTCCTCTTTCTTTTTTATTGGTTTAATATATACTCTTGCTTTAACAAGCATTTTAAGTTTCTTCGTTTTTCACTTTCGTCTGCATGTTTTCGTGCATTTTATTTTTGAAACGGAATTGTATAGACTTAGTTTGTAAACTTTTGCAAGGATGCTTTCTAATGTTTTGTATAAAGTTTAATTTTTCAGTTTATCAACAAGATAAGATTTTCTACGGAAATTTTATACAGAAGCAGACATGTTTTGGACTCGATCCTTGAAAGCGCGTGGAAGAAATGCTGGCCCCCATGACCAATAGTGTGGTCCAAAGAGCACACTATAACGGCCGTCACACGTACACGTGCGTGTTTTTCGTACGGGTACATACGCTCAGAATCGCATTTCATAAACCGATATACTATGCAGGGTTAAGTACGGTGGGATCGCGGTTTATTTCGAAGCTTCTCGAGTTCCCCGTGTCATACGGCCACACAATGTTTGCAGGTCGGTATTTTTGTTAGAAGGTTGCCCTCCTCCTTCCCTCCATTTCTCTCACCTCACCCTCTTTCCCCCTGTTTTATTAATTTTATTTTTTTTGTGGACTCAATTTGACGGGGGGCACGTGCCCCCGCGGCCCACCCCTGGATCCGCGCCTGGGTGTAAGGGGAGGGGGTGCCCCCCTCCCCTTTGGAAAATTTTCGCATACGGAGGATGGGCTAGATGCAAAATGGTGCCACATTTGATGCTAAATTCGATCTGAAGATATCTCCAGAAATTGCTATTTTCGAGGTAATGATTTTAACAACGCGCAGAATTTTTTTTACCAACCCAAATCTCAGATGGGGGGGCACTCGGGGGGGCACTAGGTTTTCCAGGGGGGGCACGTGCCCCCCCTGGCCCCCCCTTGGCGACGCCACTGCGGTTGAATACACCTGGATAGCAGTAGTGCCACACTGTTCCAGTTACACATTGTGTGTAGATGTACAGAGTGGACGTGTTCATAAGTTCAACTCTTAGCGCGTACGTGCTGTATAACAAACACCCGTAAAATCAAGTCCCACACCTTTGAATGCTGTTGGAGTTACTCATCAACTGCTTACTCTAACAAAATTGGATCTTTACACTGGAGAGCAATGGTGTTGACAAGTTCAAGGACTAGGATTTTTGTGATGGTGTTGATTGGATTTACACTGTTGGTGTCAGTCGGCAAAGCCCAGGTAAGATCGAGGTTTCATTTTATTTCCAACAGGATTCAAACAGGATTCCTAGCTACCGTTTTATCTGTGCAGTTATACATTGCACTGAATAGAAAAGTCAGGAAACCCATGGTTCTGTGCACCTGACCCGACTCAAGTCAGTCAGAATGTGTTTTACAATCTAGGCTGTGAATGGAAGGTATTTGAAAATCTAGGCTAATGGTAGGGGACTGATTCTATACAAAGTGACCCAAAAAATACACCCCAAAAACATATGCCTTTTAAAAAGGTATAGGATCTTTATGTTTTTTTTTTCAATAAAAGATGATGTCTCAAAACCGCCAAACTCACTGGTTTGACTGGAATCCTGCTGCTGCACAATTTTAACGTGTTTTTAGATGGGGTTATGATCGAGAATAAGCTTCATGTGGCCTCTCTGGACTCCCATATATTTGCACTTAGTTTAGTCGACCACCATTTGAAGTCATCAGCCGACATTTGAAGCAAAAAAAAAAAGGTAAAAAAACAAAAAGCCGCGTCACCGCACCACTTTTTGGGCAAGCTCCATACCAGAAACCGGAGATTTTTTTGGGCCTTAAAAGCTAAGAGCGTTTTCCTTCAAATACTGAAACAATCATGACAATAACACTTTGGGTTGCTGAGAACGTGCCAATCATGTAAAAGTAGTCATTTTTCCCTCCACACACCAAACATACCACAGGAAGGATTTTTCACAATATCTATTTGAATGGGCGTCGCGAGGGAGGGGGCAAGGGGGGGGGGCACTTGCCTTCCCCACGGAAAAGCAAAAAGAAAAAAAAGGAAGAAAAAGAAAAGACAAGAAAAGAAAAGAAAAAGAGGCGCGAAGACAAAGTGGTGTAAATTTAATGATTTGGGGGGGGGGGGGCAAAATGTCCCTGCCCCCCTCTAAAACTGATAAATCGAGAATGTGTTGAGAAATACAAGCATTTTTTGGCCAAAAATATGTTGCCCCCCTCTAGAAAAAAACCTGGCGACGCCCATGCCTATTTGTGCATGTCCTTATCCTTAGGCCAACAAACAACACGGCACACATTATGAAAGGAGTACAAATTAATTTGATGCAAAAAAACCTTTAGTTTCCACCTGAACAGGTATCTCATCCTTTTTATTTTAAACCGTTGCATATGTCAAAATACTTAAGAAATTGCAGAAATGAAGGATAATTGCACAGTGGGCTAACAGTACAATTTTCCACTGTTTGAAGTACTTGTGTAAAGGATGGAAAATGACTAATCTCAGCTGAAATCTCATACCATAAATATAAAAATCCACCGATCCTATTTTTTAAAAAGACACATGTCTGAGGGTTGCATGTTTTTGTCACCTTGTAGATTATTTATTTAGTTAAATAAAACAGATAAAAAATCAAAGCTTCAAAAGAGAGTATGTCTTATATCAGATTTACCTTCACACACAAGCTCGCGTGATATGAGTTTGCTTTGCGACTATTCATTGTGCGATGGGAAATACCCGACTGGGGTTGCGAAACGAAAGGGAATTTGCAATGACATCATGGTAATTTTGCAACACAGGCATTGTGGCGACCATGATTGCGACAAGTGTGATTGCGAAATGTTGGTTGGGAATTCCAATTAAATCGTTTTCCACTTTTTCAACCCGCTGACAAAAGTTATCAGGATGTGTATACACGATATTGAATTATACTCACACCCAAATAACAAAAACACAGGGATTACTCCCGTTTTGAATTTATGCCACATGCAGCCACGTGAGACTTTTAATTCATTCCAATTATTACATACTCATAACTGTGCCGATTGGGCAAATTGGTCACATCAGTTCTAACACAACCATTCTGGCACCGCAGAGTGCTCGATCCAAGACTCGGTGGAAAAAATATCCCCATAAACTTGCGAGCGACCTAATTGTTTTGGATATGTATATATGAAAAGCAAACAAACAAAGGAAAAGGGGGATGGCGGAGGGTAAAACTGAAATGTGTTCAAAACTTAAAACACTCCTGCTGTTTCACTGGCTGTGAAAAAGTAAGCCAGAGCACAGCCAAGCTGCATGCAGCCAGCATGCCATGCACCAATCAACATGTTGCAAAACAGACCCTCTCATTTAGTGATAAATAAATCAACTCAGAAAATAAAAGGAATAATTTCAACAGTCTTGTGACACCCTGTACATGAACACATTTCAGGGACAAAAAATCCCTACTTTATCCACTAGCACACTGCATAGGGATATCACATTTTGCAACATGTATGCCAACTTTGAGATGAGCCAAAAACCAAACAAAAAATATTGTGCCCTATTTTTTGATATTTTGTAGAAAACATGTTGGGGGTTTAATTTTCATCCAAGTTTGTCTCAATGTTGGGTGGTCGGGTGATCCACTAGATCAAATTCAAGGTCAAAGTATAGGTCAAAATGTCATTATACTTCAAAAACCCCGACATGAAAAACAATGGTAAATTTGGTTTTCTCCTGATGTAACCTTTCAAAAGAAATCAAGATTAACAAATTTGGCTCACAGATTATATAGTTTGGTCATTTAACAAATGGCAGCAATGTCCATTTTGACCAAAATTGCCTGGGCGGTAGCGCGAAAACCGTTTGTCCGATGGCGCTAAAAATTAATATAAATAAATATGAACCAATTTGAAGAGGTTGGGGTTTAAAATTTAAAAGTTTTGGGGGGTGATTTGACACTGAATGACCCCAATGTCAAATGACAAAATGTTGTTTAAAGTCCCCCGAAAAGCAACTTAGGACAGTAGTATATTATGTCGTATTTTTGGCCATTACATTTTTTTTGCTAAAGAAGAAATTTTTCTTTTATTTGGATAGAGTTTACCTTCCTAAGCTTTTCCATCTACCATGTGGCAGCCGTCTTGGAATTCAAAATGGCCGCCATTTCGCCTAATTTGTATCTAACTTCGGACCTGATTGTCATATGAAGTTCATTCTGATGGCAAACTCCATGTTTTTGATACCAAGGAACCCGAGAAAATCATTGTTGATGGGGTATACTCCCAGTGGAGTACCCCATCAACAATGATTATAACTAGGGTTCCTTGGTACCGGTATCAAGAACATGTAGTTTGCCACCAAAATGGACTTCATACGACATTCAGGTGCCACCTTATTATTTAAATGAAATCCAAGATGGCCGCTATTTTTGAATATCCAATATGGCTGCCATCCATTTGGGATGCCTAAATGTGTTAATTGGATTCCTTGGTATCACATTTTTGGGGTTTGCCACCAATAGTGACTTCATACGACAATCAAAGTCCAAATTTAATATAGTTCAAAATGGCGGCAATTATGAAATATCCAAGATGGCTGCCATCAATTGTGAGTACCCCGTCCTCAGTGATTTACTGAGTCCATTTACTTGAGTTCATTCAAAAACATGGACTTCATAGGACATTCAGGTGCAATGTTATTATAAATGAAATCCAAGATGGCGGCTATTTTGAAAAATCCAAGATGGCTGCCATCCATCTGGGATACATCATCAGCAATGGGTCATTAAGATTACTTGGGATCAAATGTACGGTATGGGGTTTGCCACCGAAATTGACATTGTACGACATTCGTGTCCGAATTTGTTATGCAAAGGAGCCGAAAATGGCGGCCATTTTGAAATATCCAAGATGGCTGCCATCCATTTGGAGTACATCGTGAACAATAATGTACTGGGGTTCCTTTGTATCAAAAACACGGGGTTTGCCATCAAAATGAACTTTATGTGACATTAATAAATAGCTTGGAGAGTTGATGGTTTCTGATTGGTCGAGACTCGATCACGTGGCCGGTCATTAACGGTGATAATGGACCGGCTTCAAAGATCAAGCGAATAAATGGCCCCTGAACCAGCATTGATTCAGCCCGTTCAGCCCCATGCAAGCCAATGATTGGTCAAAATATAGTAACAGTCCTGCGGTAGCTTTTAACAATTGAGCACTGCACATGCGCTCAACCCCCATCGCGTGAGACTGACTCGCGCGTACGCAACACAGTTGCTAGGGATGCGTGCGTGCGTGCGCGTAAGGAAGTTTTGAAACGACATCGTACAGCAGTGCAGTATATACATGTACTGAGGATGTTAACGACGAAAGCGTAGATCTACGATTTATTTTTTTTTGAACACTTCACCCACCGACATATTTACCTTTCCTAAACCAAGCATCTTTGTAATTCCGGACACAAGGAATGTGTAAACGAGATTTCAGCTTTCTCCATCAGGTAAAGATATGAAAACATTGTTGTAATTTGTTTCGCTACGGCAGCAGTTTCTGTTGAGTTTACGTCGTTATAGCTGTTAAGCTAAAATATGGCCCATGAACATGAACACAAAAAAGTTTGATATATCGCCGAAAGAAAGTCACAGAATTGAAGCATTTTAAATGTTTATTTCGTTATAAAGGTATTTATTAATGGGAATAACAGTGTGAGGATCCGGTCTTCACTGCGTGATAATGACCGGGTGTGGGGGTGACCGCTGTTAATGGACCTCGACTTCGTCTCGGTCCATTTACAGCGGTCACCCCCACACCCGGTCATTATCACGCAGTGTGGGGGTGACCTCACACTGTTATTCCCTTAATCAGGTCCGAAGTTACATGATACAAATTAGGCTCGAAATGGCAGCCATTTTTAAATTCAAGTTGGCCGCCACATGGTAGCTGGGGGAAAATGTCTCCAATGCATTATCCAATCGATTTAGGGAGGTAAACTCTTTCCAAATATGGCAAAAATTCCTTCTTTAAAAAAAAAAAAAAGCAAAAGTACATAACGGCCTATATACTACCGGTATATGGCCAAATCATATGAAAATCATGTAATTAGCGGCCTTTTGAATTTATGCAAATTCGGCATATTTCCACCACTTGGATTTTTAACAACTTTTTTAGGGACCTTATAGCAATGCACTGTGTTGTGAAATTTGACTTGGATTATCAGGGAAAATTCAATTGGTACATGTCCACACATTGCATCCATTA